AAAAATAATCAAACTTTACAAGTTTCGGTATTTATAATTGCATCACGTAATGTCTGTATTTACAATACAATTGGAGAGAGGGAAAATATATTCCGCTACATTATTAAGGATTAAGAGGATTGGTGGATACTTGCATAATGGTTCACTTTTTCTTAATAAATTGTTCTAATGTTTCGTGTTTTAATGCAAGTACGGAGAATAAAATTTTAATAAAATATATATTTATTCTCGTACTGGCAATCCTAATAATATTTAAATATATCTTGATAAGAAATCATAAAATCCTTGAATTTTTTACAACGAAAAATAATGTACAAATACTTGTGACTTCTTTTTGGTAATACTCTTAAAAATCGAGTTCTAGGCACACGACAGTGTCATAAACCAGGCTGAGACAAAGCAGGTGCCCAACAGAAGAGGTGAGGTGGTGAGAGGAGAGACAGGGCGAAGACAGGGAAGGGGAAAGGAGGGGGAGGAGGGGGCGGGGCGACGTCCGTCAGCGCGGGGAAGTTGGCGCCTCCTCGCGAAGGGAAAGTTGTGCGCCTTTTTCGGGCGTAATGAGACGGCTGCGCGGCGCGGGGGAGGGGGGAGGGGGAGGGGGAGGGGTAGTGTGGGGGTGGGGGCCGTCGCGCGGATCCGCGTCGCGGAGTTTGCTCCACCTGCCACCTGGCGACAAGCGCGCGCTTGCGGTGGCGGCAACGGGTGAAACCCCTAGCCTTCCTTGCGCTACTTCTCGGTAGGAAGCTTCTTCGCGAGTATGAGTCCGTAGATAAGAGTGACAGTCTGGATTATAATTAAACTGAGTAATCTGCGTCATAACACAAAGTGAAGTACAATAATATTTTAAGTTATCGGATTTTTCAAGAGAAATGGCGATGTATCTTTCTAAAAGTCGTCAAAACGAAGTATTATAAATCATTGAAATGTGTATACATAGAAAATTGCAATGCATTATTATATTGAAATTAGTAACATTTTTGCAGTTATATCTTGTTTTTTCAACACGCGTGATTTGAAATATTTGAGTGATTGATGTTTTCGGGCTTGTGAACTGATTCTTATCCGTCAGAATTGTGAATGTTTTATTTCAGATGGTGGTGGTTGTGTTCCAGTGATCCAACGATGACATACACGACGGCTTAGGGGAGATTTTCCCCTCCAAGTATCTCTCCCCAGCGAGAGGCACAGCCCAGACGGTAGAAGCTCTTCGCTCCCGACTGCTCTCCCGACATGTGCAGTGCGTGCGAGTGTGTGTGTGTAAAGGGAAATGTTAACACAGTCATGGAGGAGGAAGGGGCCGTGGCCGCTTTGGTAGGGTTCTCCCAGGTATACGCCTGGAGCCGATTCGAGAAATTGTGGAAAACTACCAATCAGAGCAGCCGGTCCACAGCCTTCTCCTCCAGCCACCGGCTGAACGCCAGAATATAGCTAGAGTCGAGTCGTAGCTACAGTTAAAAATCCCCCACCGTCTAACACTAGAACTTCGGCGTGAGAGGTACGAACACGTGTGAGAATACCATGTTGCAATTTCAAACTACTATAAAAGTTTAAAGAACCAATAGTATTACTGTCTACAATTTGTTTTATAACTTGTATGACGGTTTATTTACTATCTATCTAGAATCTTCTGATTGGTCTCATCACAATTTCATGAGAAAAATGTGAAAGAAATACAACCTTCATAGGTTATATTATATACGAGTATTTGCGTCCTTTTCAGGAGTTATTGTAACTTCTGAATGATTAGTCCATTGCTTGAGATATAAATGGTAAGTCTGTATGCCCCAATATGAAAACAATTAAATTTAAAATATTGTTAATAAATGTATTTATAAATGCAAACAAATTTATGGTATTGTTAATTCAAAAAAAATTAACACATTGAAAATGTCACATACACTTTATACAAATTGAAGAAATCTCAATGTAATGCACATATTTTTGACACTTTTCATTATCATTCTGAAAGTCTTATTAATATTTTCAACGGATTTGTATTGTAGTATATAGTAAATTTATGCGATAGACATTCGAATTTGTTGCATCCTGCACATGTGCACGTATGTGGTTGTGTTTTACCCTTGCACACATGGCACTGACACCACAATATAGCAGTAACACTACTAGTAAGGTGAGGCACAGAGTACCTCAAAAGATCAGTAGGAATCACTGAACAAATCGTAAGATACACGTGGCAAATGCGTTATGCCCAGGTCAAAGTAAAACGAAGTACACGAGCCCTCGCAACTCTCAGTACTGCCAACTCACAAAAATGAAAATTTATTACTATTCCAGGGTAAAAATGTTTGATTATTAAGTTTTTACGAGTAAATCCAATGCACAACCAAAGTAATTGTTATTTGATTAAATAGAAGTAATTTCAAACTGAACGACAACGATCCAGATATTTTTTGGCAATAATCGACATAAAATGATTGGCCAATCTTATTGTTGCCTCCAATCTTATTTTGTCCTATGCGAGTTATACACAATACATAATTACTTTAACGTTGTTGGAGGCTGAAGCTTGCAAAATTCAAATCATAATGTAGAGAGGAAGTCGCGGCTTCCCAGACGGAGGCAAGTTTAGTACTGGCGCGAGTGCCGCGCTCTCTCGTGATGAACCACTTAGAGCACAGACATGACGCCCGAACGGCGCAGGACTTCATGCGCGGCAGGGTCAGCAATTGGGCGAGCCATTCAATAAAACCGTTGATACACGCGGCATAAACTTTAGTTATAGGACCAATTTGAGGCATATGGCCAATTCTATAGAATGAGAAACCACCTCATCCATTGTAGGAACAAAGTATCTAGTAGCGGCTATGCAGGTTTAGTAATAGCGAGCGGACTAAGACAGACGCTCTTCCGTGTGTCTTTGCTGCAGAGTACTTGAAGCTTTTTGCTGAAAGTTTTAATTTCTTTCCTGCAGATTAGATCAGGCACGTCAAGGATGCGGGCAAGGTAACAAGCATACTAGAGCTCGCGAGCACTGCGTCCAGGGAAATTGGCGCGACATAAAAAATAAGTGTTGTACAACTCGCTCAAGAGTAGTGGTATGTCACTGGACACCTGGCTCATGACAGCCTTGGGGAGACGTTAATTGACAGTTATTGTCACACATGTATCTACGAGTATATCAATTCCCATTTTCTATAGAAAATAAAGTAATGATTCATTAAAATAAAATAATACATCAATCTGATTTCAAATTCTAAATTGCGAGTATAGTAAAACATTTTGAATTGAAAATTACTTGATTTTGTAATCGTGTTTACTTAGCAGTGATATAATTACATTAACTTTCAGCCTAGGACATTTAACAGCAAAGATTCTTGTCTGTAAAAAACGCTGTACGTCCGTAAGCGAGAATTGTTATTTTATAGAGGCTTATTAATTTATTTCACATTGTTGTCAAATGCAATAAATAATTGAATGTTTTAATAACAAAATACGAAACGAAAACAAGAAATGAATTCGCCCTCCAAACATATTCTTGCCCTTGACAAAAAAAGGCAGAGTTTAAAAAAAGTAAACATTAAATATTAATAAATAATATTCCCATAATTTGATTCTCGGTTGTTGGACAGAACACATTTCGAAAACATATTTTCACATGAAGCCTCTTTTCTTTGTGATTTACGCATATTTTGCATTTAAATTACCCGCTTCAGTGCGCGCGTGTACATCCTTTACTGGATTTTGAGAGAAAATAATTTCGGAGTCAAGGGAAGTTGTCTGCAATAGATGATTCGTTCTGATCGTCATTTTTGCTTTTTATTCTTGTCCTGTGCGCCGGAAAACGGTGCATTTTCCACACAAAAACCCTCATTGCCGGGCTCTGGGAACGAAAAAGAGGATAAATCTAGTTGCTCAACATTGGCACAAATTCGTCCAAAACGGTGTAGCCAGAATGAAAGTTTTGTGCGTCCTTCACACAGAAAAATTGAATGACAGTGAAACATCTGTCTGTTTGTCCGTCTGCGAACGACGCTAGCAGCTAAACCGTTCAGCCGTGAATTTTCCAAAATTGATATTTCCGAATTGTTCTGGCTGATGTCGCGGCCTCTCGAATTTAAATCCGATATTTTAATTCTTGAAAGTACTTCACACGAAGCCCTTCCGACCTTTTCAACACAAAAAAGGTGTCTGCAATTGTCTTAATCTTGCCGCGAGGCGCCAGTTAGGAGCCGGAACTACCCGCCGGCAGTGGAGTTGAGGGAGGCGGCTGCGCAGAGGGAGCCTTCGGCGAACTGCACGGCGACGACGCAGTAGGTGGCGGCGGAGGCGAAGGCGGCCAGCAGCAGCGACGCGTTGAGCGGCAGCGCGCCCGCGGCGGCGGCGAGGGCGGCGGGCCGCGCGCCCGCCTCCTCCGCCAGCAGGCGCAGCTCGCGCGCCAGCGCCCGGCCCTCCTGCGGCGGTGGGAGCACTTCATCCTTAGCGATTCCGGGCACGCCGACTACTAGTGCATTAGTCCCGCGAGTGTGGTGCATGTTTTTGCTCAAGCGCTTGGCCGGGACGAGCTCTAGGCTCCCCGCATGAGTGTAGTGTAGTGCACGTTAGCGTAAGTGCGGGTAAGGCGTGAGGGTAGCACAAGGAAGGGGAAGGAATGATCGCGCGCGATTCGTGGCCCTTCGGTTAGGGTACTGCTCCGGCATTAGCCTGGTTCTGATCGGAGAAACCACGCAAAACTACCGATCAGAGCCGCCGGCCGCGAGAATTCTCCTCCAGACAGCGCCAGAATTCGACCTAGCTGACAAGATAAGTGTCGAAATCCTGCCACCGTCGCTATTGAAACTAAACAATATCGAGGAGGCACCAAAGCAGAGGAGACAAACTTTACATGCGCTTATGAACAATTTGAATTGACCAAGCAAGAACTACAGTGAAACCAGTCTTTCTTCTTAAATTTAATCACAGTCACGGATTTCAAAACTTCATGACATGCATATTTATAAAGGTTTTTCACACGATAAAAGAAAATAGCCATGACCAGGTACCTGGACACAGAGCAGAGTTCGCATGGCCTTGAGGCGCAAGGCTCTAGCCGCTCTGGCCACCGCCTCGCTCAGCGCCACCGTCGCAGTCATCTGGGCAGCGTTCTCCACGAAGCCGAAGGTGCAGTAGGCCAAAGTCAGGGGCTTCCCCAGGCTCATAGTCACGTACATGTAGAAGAGCAAGCAGACGAAGGATGCGTAGTGCTGAGCCAGCCATAAGAAAATAAAACTGCAAAAAGAAAAATATGCGAGTGCAACAACAGTTTCGTGCCTCACTTACAAATACAATCTTTTATTACCTTGATTTACTTAGCGCAATAATATTCTACTAATGGTTTAGTTTATTAATGATGTGTATAATACATTAAATAGAAGTGATAAATGTATTCAACACACACTGCATAAAAATAATTCAGTACTGGATAATACTTTGTAATTCACATTTGCAGCGATTAATTTATAGTGTTTTAATCAGCACTCGTTTATGCAAATAAAAGTCAATATTTTCGTCGAAATTGCCGAGAACTTGATTTTTAGTAATTTCTTCTATTGACATTTTAAACAAAATATTGGAATTGTGAAACATTTTTAAGTTCAACATATCAATTTTTATTAGTCGGCGTTAAGGGAATTATTTCGCACTCTCCACTCTTCACGTAGGCAACACAAAACCTTTGAAGAGAAATAAATGTACACACAGAATTTCGTTAGAATATACCAATAGTCTAAATATAATTTTATATATTTATATATAACTAAATTATTTTTAAACTATTGGTATAATTAATATACCAATAGTTTAAAAATAATTTTCGAATGTGTAAATATTCAAATACTTGTTTTCTTTTCAGATATTCGGTATTCCAAAAACATTCCGATTATTCTGAAAAACAAGTTAAATCTAGATCAGGGATTCACAACCTCCTTGCATCGATCTCTTTGGAAAGAATGATTCTTTTCATCGACCCCTTTCAAAATTTCTATTTAATCGACATCAAACAACGCTTTGATAACACAAATAATTCCTCATAAATGTCTGGAATATAACAAAATAGACAATTGTTTTAAAAATTTCAAATGGTTATTAGATTAATGATTTAAGTACTATTTGTTTACTATTATTGTTTTTAGTTTTACTAATATAAACACATTCTCACAAACAAAATATCACATTCCAATAGGAATAAAGTTCGATCTTCATTCATGAAAATGTCGAGAAATTCCAAAACTGAAGCAAATTTGTAACTTATTTTTGAACGTTTTAAAAGTATAAAAAAAAGAATTGTCAACTTTAACTAGTATTTTCTAACCAATGTGACCTTGATTTATATTATACCAATCAGTGCATATTCGACTATCGATCCCCAGACAACACCATCATTGTCCCAACTAAAATTTGATCAACATTCAGGGCATCGATTTCGATCTCTTTGACATCAGTCTAAGTGATTCGGCATTAGCAAACGTTACTTTAGTGTTTCGGACCGAGAGGTCCTAAAATTCGAGCTCCAACGGTGGCAAGATTGTCAACACTTGCTGCGAGGCCGAATTCAGGTGTTGTCTGGTTGATTATTCTAGCGTTCGCCTGCTCTGATCGATAGTTTTCCGATCAACACCAGAAGAATGCCGAAGCATTACCCTAACAAATGGGCCACAAATCGCGCGCGATCTTTCCTTTCCCTTCTTCGTCTTGTACTCATCCTTACTTTCATCCACTACACCACTGCCATACGTGTCATGATACCGGTTTGGAGAACAGATTCCCCGGCTGGGGCGGTGTCCCACTGGAGAAAGACACCTGATTAGGTAAAACCCCGCAAGATTTTTAGTTGGTGCCGGCAGTCACCATTCAGCGGGAAGATTACCGCGGCCACCCCTCGCGATAAACATGAATTAAACTTACGGTACTAATGGCGTTAGCATTTGACGCGCCTGGACACACTAATCAATCAATCAATCGACCCCGATGGGAACCTCTGATCTAGAGCACCGTCGCAGAGATTGATTGCGAGAGATAGACCACTTCGAGGGCGCCAACGGCGTTCACTCACGTGTCGAAGAAGGCGGACGTAGCATCGCAAGCGTCGCAGCAATGGAAGAGCGCCAGGCGCAGCTCCCGCACGCGTTGCGCCAGGACGCTCTCCTGCGAGCCGCATTCGCTCTTCCCCTTGGAATGCGTGGCAGGCGCCACCACCGAAAGCCTCGCCACCGTCTCAGATTCCAAGGTTCCCGGGATCGCCGCGGTGAGCGCCACCAGGCAGCGCCGAAGAATCAGGGCGGTGCTCCAAAAAAGCACCGTCAGGACCACCGCGTGGGTCGTCACGACCACAAAAGTTACGCACTACAGAGACACGCGGGCTTCAAAAATGACTTGCCAAACAGTAACTGTAGGCGGGAAGGATTCTTTAAGGCGTTTAGGAAGTTAGGATCGACGTGTTAAAGGATGTTGATATAGAGCTTGAAGGCTAGGCAATCAACAATATGGTTATTATTATTATTATTATTATTATTATTATTATTATTATTATTATTATTATTATTATTATTATCACAAAGTGTTACTGATGTTTCTTATCGTAAAAGCTGAATATGCAATAAAAGCTAATAATTATTAGCTCCTATTACTAAAAATTACTCCTAATCCTAATAAGTATTATACTCTTATTACAATTTCAAGAAAATATTGGCATTGTTTCGTATATCAGAATTTAATTGTAGTTTTGTATTTCTAAAAATATTTGTCTTAATTTGAATATATCTCGATTTAGATAATTACATCTTTACCACTCAGGACACAAAAGCTAAAAATGTGTAAAACATTTGTTCACTTCGGCGGGAAAGCAGTTTACTTAGGCGGGAATTATAGCCTAAAATAAACAGGTTTTCTCAGAAAAATGTCATTTGTACCGTTCTGGTTTTGACCCATTTATATGACGACAAAAATATGCTGGAAAAGTATCACTTGTTAATGAGATAGCATTAAGTAAAAGGTATGTGCCTTAAGATAGGATATGCTTAATGCATTCGTTTCAATTTAATTATAATTACTCTAGCTATTTTTTAAAGCCCAGAAGAAGAATTATTACAGCGAGGGATATCGAATTTTAAAAATAAATAATTAAACACTATTTGTATAATATATTAGAATAATATGAATCTCACAGTTTCGACACACAAGTGAACTACCTCTAGGTTTTTGTTTCATTTTTTTTCTCAATGCATTCGCGATTTCCCTTACCGTCAGTACATTTCCGTTTTGGAAATAAATGTGATTGGAAACGTGCAGCACGCAAACAGTCGTGAGGGCGGCGAGCTGGAGCGCGACGCAACGGCCAGGCAGCGGCTCGGAGCAGCCCCCGGCAGCGGCCAGGCGCCCCTCCGCCGCCCCCAGGGACAGCAGCAGCTGCCGCGCCTGCCGCGCGCAGAACGACGTCGTCGCGTAGACTGCCTACAAGTAAGCATTGCGTTCTCCTGCCAACTTTTCTCTCTTATTATTGGAAGCATTATACGAAGGTCACTCCAAAAGTAATGCACATGGATGTTTTAAAAAAATCATTTTCTTTTCTAGGACTTTGCTCCTTCCACATTTTAAAATTTCTCGCTGGAACTCAAATTTAGTTCAACCTTTTTCCGCAATTGTTTCTCTCGTAGCACTCGAAGTTGGCAGCTGTTCGTCAGAATCAACGTGCTGTGAGAACAAGACAATGACTAGCAATCGCAAGAGATCACAAAATACGTTGGCGATGGTGTTTTTGATCGCATTACAGTTAGTCGGTGGGATTTCAGATTATCTGGCAAATAAGGATGAGCGAATATTCTGAATCTCCCGCGCAGGGGCAGGCCGTGCTCTTCACATTCTCCTGACAATGTGCAGCTCATTCACAACATTTTTGCTGAAAAACGCATAACTGAAAGAATTTTCAATGTAAGTGTGTATAAGAGAAACGGGTAAGGCAGAATATTGAAAGAACTGCAATTGAAAAATCTGTCTGGTGGTTTCCAGAATATGAGGACTCCATTGTTAAGGCTGCTAAAAGTTCAGAAGTGATGCCCGAGGCTTCTACCGTGCGGTATACATGCTCTTCTTCAAAGGTCGTAAGGCAGTAGAAAGGGAGAGAGAGATTAAGCGGATAAGCGACTTTTTGTTTCTCAAGGATCAAAACGTAATGTAAAAAATAGAACAAAACAAAATGTAAAAAATAGAAAAAGTATGGAAAATAAATTAAACGTATAAAAAGTTGTTGTGTATTATTTTTGGAGTGACCCCTCGTAGAACTAATTGCATGGTAATATTTAACAAATAAAAATGCAGTGGGTAGAGCTCGCGTATTTCAGATTATGTTGTTTTTCTTCCGTTGAAGACGTACTATATGGTCGGATTATTTTGTGAATAACGCGAGAAAGAATTTGCTTTCGAAACTCGTTTGGAGATACATTGGAATGGTTACAAGGTCGATGGTACAGGAATATCAGAATGACTTTCTTTCAAGAGTGAATTTTCATAAATTAATGTTGTCCTTTGGTTATTAGAACTTGTAAATTTATAACGCAGCTGATAGGTATTTATAATAAACTTTATTTACCATGAGATGAACATTGAAGGAAGACCGTAAAGGGTGCCCCCGAATAAGATAGTAAAGAGTTCCCACAAACCAAATGGCATATGAGTAGTTACGAGTAGTAACTACTAGTTACACTATAACTCTAAAATAAAAATAATATTTTTGAATAGTTTCTTAATCCCCATTCCAGGACACACTCATCTCCAGTAAAACAGTCTTTATTTTCATTACTTTTTCGTCAACTTAACTATTTCATTTTATTGAAAAAATATGGAACACAAGAAAATAATTCATATTATCAGAAAAAAGTTTGACAAATTCAAACGCAAAAAAGAGAAAAAAAATAACAATGTTTTTTCTGCCTTAGAACCCTGGAATAGGCTCGAAGAACATATCAAAAGTTTATCTCAAAACAAAATTTTTATGAATTTTTCAGTATTTTATTGCTGGAATGTAGTTAAACAAATAAAAAATACATTTTTACCACTTTCCCACCTTTAAATCATCTTCACATTAAATATACTTTGAAAATTACTGCAACAGTTCTGAGCATTTGTTCTCAGTTTATTATATATACACACATTACACTAACGCGCATATCAAGAAATCAGTTAGGAGCTCTGAGCGTGCTTCGGTGGAGGCTGCGACTCGCTGAGGGAAATGTACGGAGCCCCCCTCCCCTAGCTGTTATGTCGTATTGTGGGTGAACTCGCATTGCAGCGAGGGAAGAACCCCGCCCCTTTCCGAGATGAAGCCCTTACGGGACAGGCCTAAGTAGGTGAACGAATAACTGCCCCCTCCCCCTCCTGCCCCTCGCGCGGTACTCACATGCGCCAGCGGCAAGACGGTGAAGAGCAGCCAGTTGAAGTAGTAGAAGACGTCTTCGAGGGAGGTGCGCACGCCCTGGTACTCGCCCTTCTCGTTGGGGTCCTGGCGCACGGCCGCGGCGGCGCCGAGCGCCAGGGCCCAGAGCGCTCTCGCCGCCAGCGCCCACGGCGCCCGCGCCACCCGCGCCGGCGGCCCGCGCAGCGCGAACGGCGCCAGCCCCAGCGCGCGCGCCACCCACAGCAGCGGCGCCAGCGCGCGCGCGCCTCGCGGCAGCGCTGCCTCCGCCCCCGTCCTCATCCTCATCCTCAACCCCACGAAGCAAACGGCGCGGACCGGGGTCGATGCTTTGCGAATCGATTTCAATTGCGCGAGGAAGGATAATGAGCGACGTCGAAAGGACGATGTCAAGATTGTGACATGTTTGTCACTTTAGCCTGTTTGAAAGTGGTTCGCCATTTTCAACTTAGGATTGATGAATTGTAATAAAAATATATTATTGCGGTTGGAATCTGCGTCGTATTCGGAGTCGCGAACCACAGATATTATGGGTTTAACATGATCTTATAGTGGAGTTTATTTTACACGCATCTGAACAATTTGTTTAGACCTTTTTCTACGAGTATAAAAGGAATGAAACTTACACAAAAAAATATGTTAATCTATTTAAGTATAATAAATCTAAACATTCTAAATGGTAATCAACAATTATAAAAATATGATGATGAAAAGTGATTTAGAGGTGTTTAAGCATTCTTGTTCCCCCGACGATTGAGCATTCGCCTTCCGCGGCATGTGTGACTGCTTTGGTGCTGTAGGGGGCAGGGGGTGGGCGAAGAGGGTCGATTCTTTATAATCGAGTGATGATAAGGTATGTCAACATTGCGATATCGAGAAGAAAGGGTGCCAAAGATTGTGAAATGCTTATAACTTCAACTGCTTTATTTGATTTAATGCATCCTTAAAAAAAATACATTTTTAATGATCAGTTACAGTGTTTTATTTGCCTTCCAAACGAAGTTCAATATGCTCTGCTTAACACACCTGGATCGAGAGGACCGTAGTTACGAGGGAATTATGAAAACAATTGAATGATTTTACATGTTCCCTTACAGAGAGATTTGTGAGAAGGAATTATGAAAGGGAATTATGGGGGATAAATATGAAATGGCAAACCGATTCTAGTTAACAACTAGTTAATACGTAAATATGAATAATAAAAGTTGGTAAAAAATATATAACCATGTACGATCGACGAGCGTTAACTGGTTCTAATGATCTCGGGTGACAAAAGACCATCGAGCTAAAGGCCCTCGGGCGTTTTGTCGCCGCTCGATCATCACAACTCTTATAACGCCCTTGGTGCGTAAATAACTATTCCTAATTATATAGCAATGGCGGTTGGTGCATAATAACTGTTGTGGTTGGAATCAGTTTGATAACTAGGGTTTCGAACCACAGATATCATGGGTTTAAAATTATCGTGTGGAAAAGGTTATTTCATACAAATCTGAAGATTTTTTTAAGTTTAAGTACAAGTATAAAAATATTGAGAATTACAGGAAATATTAATGTAATACATTTAATTATAAAAAATCTAAACATTCTAAACAATAATTTACAATTATAAAAAATTATAGATTACGAAAACTGATTTTATTGATGATTGTGCAGTCTTGTGGTGCATCATTCTCACCATATGAATGTTGTAGAGACTACCCCAAAACAGAAGGACATCGAGTATTATCTAAAGTAGACGATACAAATCCCATGTGTGGACGTGCGTTACAAAAGTGCCAAGTACGTAATACGTTGTGTTGCGGTAAGCAGTGCTGCAACACGATGAACTCTAAACTTATGAAGTGCACTGCCGCGAGAAGTGTTCATAGGTTTGCTACTGTTATTCCGAATAAAAATAACATTGTAATAATAATTATTATTATATTAATAATAATTATTAATAATATTAGTAATTATAGTTAATAGTCATTATTATATTAATAATAATTATTAATAATATTAGTAATTATATTAATAATTATATTAATAATATTAACATTAAATTGTGGTTTATCAAAATCAAATGAGACTATTTGTTGTTCCCCGTAGCAGCTAAGTTTCACAGCATCTTAATTATGTTTTTTCAATTATGAGATCGGTGAAGATGCCATAGTAATAAAATGTTTTACGTACGATAATTCCTAAAATATTAATTTGTATATTAAGGAAAGTCGTTAGTAGTCTGGGAATTTATTTAATCGTTTAATAAAGTTCTAGTTTTATAATAGAAAAGAAATCATCAGACTGATATTAGAACCATTAAATCAAATCCACTAAAAAATAATTAAAAAAGTCTATTAGTTTGTTTTGGGACGTTGTAGATTCAGTTTATTTGATGCTTTTAACAAAAATGTTCAAATTATATAGAGTAGTTCATTTTATAACTTTCAAAGTGACGTATGACAACGTCTTTTAACAAAATTCCCTTCCATTTTCTCGATCAAATAATGACTTAAAGTAAGGGAATACAACACACACTTTGCTAAGTGTACTGTCTCGCTATCCTATTAGGCAATTATCCTATATCGACCTCCTCTGAGTAATTGTAATGGTCTTCCATAATTGGCGCCAATGTCACGTACCACACGTCCCAAGAGAGAACCGATGGCGTCAACAATCTCCCTAAGGGGTCGTAATTTCCGGATAAAAGTTGATCGATCGTACACTGCACTTTTACCGACGAAATTGAAAAGAAAGTGTAAGAAGGGACGTTTTAAGTAAAAGCATTTGTTTTCTTGTTAAGTGTGTTGTTGTTGATTTTTCTCCTTTCGTATTAAATAAGTTCCTTACGGTAACATTAGAAGCACTCATTAAAACAATAATTAAGATGGCATTAAGAGATTTTATTAAAAAAATAATAATTATTTTTAAATGTCATTGTTCGATATTCTTCAAAAGAAGTATGCATGATAAGTATGTAATTAATGTATGAAATGTAGATTATATTATATACGAATATTCGTAGAAGCATGCAAAAGAAAATTATAATGTCCTGCTCGCTGTCCTGCTGTTTGTAAATCATCTTTCCTCTGTCAATTAAAATATACATCTCTTCAATATTACAATCTTCTAATCGGCTGTCAATGCATTACTTTCTCGCTACGGAGTTGAGAGAAAGTTATGTAATGCTGCACGAATAAAACAGTGAACGTATGGCAGAAAACTCTTATTACTAGGCGCTGCTAATGAAAAGTGGATATATCCAGCTGCTGAATTTAGAAAAGAAGATCGTCTAACTCGTAATGTAGCCAGAATCCATTGTTTTGATACAGAAATCGAATGACGGCAAAACGTCTCTCTGTCTGTCTGTGAACAACGCCGATTTTCTCCAAAATTGATATTCCCCAATTTATCTGGCTGATCTAACGGCCCTTGGAATTTGAATTTTAATTAAAAATGCTCCATATTTTCTATTAAAAATTGTTGTTGGATAGTGTAAATGTCGTTTAAAAGAATGGCGCAGATCACCATTTCGTTGAAAAATCTTTTTTTTAAATTGCAAAACTTCAAAACTTTTTCGGAGTCTTCCTACAATTAAAGATTAAAGATAGAGATTTTTTTCCTCAATAGAATGCGTTTCTTAAAGACAGATTTTGAAATAAGGTCATGTACATGTTTTCAAAAATTTTAGTACTTTTTTTCTTAATATTACGTGAAAATGCTGGTGAGAAAATACATGCTGCTTTGGCACCACTAATTTTTTTTTATTATTCGAACTCAACAGAGGATACGTATTTATACGAAGAAATTTAGTGGTATTAGACTATTGGAAGGCAGTTTCTTATTAGAACCTTGATTTCTTCTCGGGGTTTATTAGTCTTTCAGCATTGCGACTCTGAATATCAGCAGTTTTAGGCAAATGAAACTGCAGAGCTCGTCTCCTTTCAGCGCAGCCCCTGCGGCTTTCGTCCTCCGACGCATTCGTCATCGTTAGCACATCGGTTTACCATTCAACCTCCGCGGACGCGCCTCGTATTAACCTTTACCTCGCGTAAGAGTAGAGATCTTTCAGCCCCGCGACGCAGTCTCGGCCCTAATCACCCGTCGGCGGCGTATTCACGGCCGAAGGCCCCGCGCGGCGCCGCACAATGGGCGCGGATCCCGCCAGGGCGCGCGCGCAGCCACTTTGTCCCGGGGATTCCCCGGCGCGCCGCGGGCTCTGCGGCAGAGACCCCCGCGGTGGCGGTGGCGAAGGCAAAGACGATGGCGAAGCCAGTGACGAAGGCGGCGGTGAAGGTGGTGGAGAAGGCGGAGGCGAGCGTAAAGGCGAAAACTACGACGACGGAGAAGGCCAAGGAGACGACGAAGGCGAAGGAGATTGCGAAGAGGAAGAAGACGAAGGCAGTGGCGAAGGAGACGGCGACGATGGTAAGAGCGATGGTGAAGGCGGAGACGGGTGTGTCGGTGGTGCCTGCGAGGGCGGCGTCTGCGTCGGTGGTGATTATGGTCGTGGTGATGGAGGCAGTGGCGGTAAGCGATGGACGGCAGCGAAGGCTGATGTGAATGCAGCGTCGACGAAGTCGCGGCGGTGGCGGACGCAGAAGGCAGCGGAAGCGACCGAGGGGGGGGGAGGAGATGTGGCCATGGCGATGGTGATAGCATCAGTTGTCAGTGTTGGAATGGAATCGGAGAATCCTTGCTCAAGGCTGCCCATTGTCTCGGAATACGCAGGGCAGTCGTGAATGCACCATCTACCCCATTAACATCGATCATTGAACGCGTTTTTGATTGAAATGCCTGTATCGTACAGTAATTCATTTACAGAAATAGCTTGTGTAATAGTTAATAGGCATGGGGCCGCGAAAATAATAGTTCAAATCTGTTAACACTCTTCCTACCAGCGAAGAGTGCTAACTATCTTTCAGTGGCGGCTCACGGTACAATTTTACGGTGGTTGTAGATTTGACCTAAAAAATTTACGAACTGAAATGCAAACACAAACCTACAAATATAGACGAAGCTGTAATATAAATAAGTAAATAAATGTATGGAAGATTGTTTACTTTTCAAAATAACATTGTAGGTATTTAGAAGGTGCTAATGAACAGCCCCGTTGTATGAATCTAGTATTTTTTCACTTGCCCATTAATTCAAAGGATAAATCATTAATATTTCCGCCTCTCAAAAAATAAAAACTCGACTGTAAAAAAATATAAATTCATTTACCATCAGTTTGGAATAAATGTAAATGAATTTGAAAATCAATGAAATGAATTCAAACGATGGTTGAAAACAATCTT